CCCCCCCCCCCCCCCCCTTTCCGGCTTTGCCCCCCGCCCCGCCGGGTGTTTCCCATCGGGGTTTGGGTTTTCGTCGCTTGGCAACGACGTTGTAAAACAAGCCCCCCACTCGGTGTTTGCCATCGGGATTGGGTTTTCGTCGCTTGGCAACGACGTTGTAAAACAAGCCAATTCACTTCGTGAACTCGGCAACCAGGTTACCGTCTTTTTTTTTTACCTCTGGTTTTTTTTTTGGCGGTAACCATAATGGTGGTCGAGTAGATCATGTTGTGCGGGGTCGAGAAACCTCACTCCGCGCAACGGGGGATGATCGCACCACGTTGTGTTAAAATGGCCAAGCTTCCTCGAGGCAGTTACACAGTGCGTACAACTGTCTCTGAAAGTGAAAGCACAAGAAAATAAATTAAGTCATACGTAGCTGTCATCCGTATGCAAGGAAGTAAGCACAAGATGCCGAACACCCTTAGCAGGATGCAGCTCACCCTTCATGCGACTCGCCAAATACCTCACGGCGCTTCGCGCTTGGTGATGTGAGAGCCTGGTCCGGTGAGAACCCGGCGTGCTCCGTCCCGGCTTTGTAGGGATGCGAGGTCAATGGTCAAACGACTACGGCATGCACGACTATGAGTACACCCCCCCCCCCGCGGCCTGCCACTCACTGTCGGCTTGTTCCACCCTGACGACGAGAGTGCTGTCCACCTCGTTGTCAGATTCGTCGAGACTGCTAGAGTCCGTGATACGGAATCTGCTGGACCGGCTGGATCTCCCGGAGCTCTTTTGCATCAACCTGAACAAGGGGACAAGGACGCGTAAAATGGAGACGCCTTCATGTAAAACCCCCCCACCCGTGTAAACACAAAAACACGGCCCCGCCAAGGGTAGTTACCCTTCGGTGAGTTTCGACTTTTTTTTTTCCAGCATTTGCATACAACCCTCACCACTTCAGAAAGCGTTGACAATTTCACCAGTGTAGTTTTTCAAATTTAGTTTTTTTTCAAGGGAGGGACCCAAAAAGGGCCCCTTTACCGCCCAAAATCAACAGATAAAGGGTGCTTCACCCTTCCCCCTTCAACACCCCTTTCCGGGTTGTTAGTCCCTTTTTCCCCATTGACCCCCTTGATGCCCTGGATCCAGTCCCTGGGGGGGGGGGACGCCAATTTCCAAGTTTTCTTTGCGAAACCCGGGACTTCAGGGGGGGGGGGGGGGCGGTGCGAGAAGTACTCACGCGTGTGTGTCTCGCTGTTTGGCTACAGTACATACCATCGCTGATTGGTTGCAAGCGCCAAGAGCACAGGTTGGTCATGGGTCATGTAACAACGCTCTGTACTCATTGCTAGCTTATCCTGGACTGATATCTCTGGATGATACAAGCGCTTTGCGTGAGACAAAAAAAGAACAAAAAAAACAGAAAAAACAGAAAAAAGTAGCAGAAGCAGAAGCAGAAGCAGCAGCATCTGCACTAGGGCCAGCGCCAGAGCTTTACATGCACACCTGATCTGGTACAGCCACAGCTCCTTGTCGTCCTTGCTCTCGGCGAGGAACGTGAACGTCCGCCGCTCCGTCCCGTCCACTACCTCGTCGCCCTTCTTCCACTTGTTCGTCTCCACGCGGAAGGCCGAGTCCTTGAAAGCCTGTCCCATACGTCCCATCCCACGTGCAAAAACCCGCGTGTGCCATATTTTGTTTCCAACCCGCGGGCGTGGAAAAACCGGCGGGGGTTGAGGCGGGGCGAGATAGGGCGAATGGTTTGGTTTCGGGGCAAGTGTGCAACCACCATGTGTAGGTATGTACGAACACGGTAAGGCTGCGGTTATAGCACACGGGAAAACAGGCAAAGAACAGCAGGCCAGGCCACGTAATGGGTCGCCATGTCGTCCCGTGGCGTTAACGGAAGACCTGCGGATCGACCGGCTGTAGGTACGGTATATGCAAGGGGCGAACCAGTAAGACTAGTGGTCGCTACCCACAAAGCTGACGTCATGCATGCCCTGGGGTTCGCGTCAGTTCTTCCTAAAGGTCCCAAATAACTCCATCCACCCATCCATCCATCAACCGTCTCAACTACAGCAACAACCAAAACACCAACAACAACAAACCTGTCCTAGCTCGGGCTCCGCCGTGGCGCCCTTAAGGTACACGATCTGGCTCGGCTCCGTGTCCTTCGGGTCGCTGAAGAGAGACAGGCTCTCCCCCGTGAGGAGACAGCTCCGCTTCTTCCAGTCCAGAGCCTCCGTCCACTTCTGCTGCACGGGGCGCTTGACCCTTTGCATTGCCCTCGACGTCACAGAGTTCTTCCGTCGCCGGGTGGACTCGCGCGCGTTCGTCGCCGCCTGTTTTTGTTTGTAGTTATATCAAAACGTGTTTTGTGTTTCTTAAGCAGGTACATAGAGGTTGATGCTAAGCAAGCCTTTGTGTGCACACATGTGTTTGTGTGTGTTTTATCACTTGTTTAACTACTGAGGTACTTAATTTGTTTTGTTTTCTTCGTAAGCAGGTTCATGGGTTGATGCCAAGCAAGTCTGCACGCGGTTGCGTGTTTGTTTCATCCTCTTTTTCAATTTCAAGCAACAGCAGCGTCCGACACGAGATGCAAGGACACATTGACGTGGTGTGATTCGTGTGTCTCATGTTCGTCATCGATTTATACGCAGCAAAAAACAAAAAAATGATGTCAACGCCGCCGCCGATACGGCATACGATAGATGCCGCTAGAGTGTGTTTTTGCGCGTAAAACCGAAGATGGCATGAACAATAACCACGTATGGGCAAAAATCACACGGCAGTTAACACAGCGAAACACTGTCGTCCTGTCTGCAGTGAAACAAAAAAAGCGACGATAAAACCCAAGGGAAACAATCTCACCTGTGACATGGTGACCTTGTACTTCATGACGGACAGCGTTCCGGCCTTCTGCTTTTGGGATTTGTCGATGGTCTGGTTCTGTTACTCCAATCGTCGGGAGGGAGAGAGCGAGAGCGAGAGCGAGGAGAGCGAGAGAGAGAGAAAGAGAGAGGGTTAGTGTACACCCAATGTCCGACATTTGCGTATCACGGGTACTCCTTGGTCGTAAACTGCCCTCGATGGGTGTCCAACACCCCCCCGGTTCGCTTTTCTATTTGTCCCCGGGAGGTATCTCTCGCGATCGAAACGCTTCACCAAAAAGGCCTCCAGGTCACTACCAACACCCCCTGAGCACCCCATGCACGAGCAGGGAGGCAGCCAGCCAGCTACCGCAGTTAAAGGCTATGTAGGAAGGAGACTAGGAAGGCCAACCTTGAATTGCTCGTGTCTCTTCTGGGTCTCGAGCCTGTCTTTGAGCTTCTGGATGCTCGTCTTGAGGAGGTTGGTCTGGCTCTTGAGCATCTTGAGCTGCAGCATCTCCATCATGAACCCGTGCGTGAACCTGGCCAAGAAAAAACAGACGAAACCAATCAAAATGTTCTGCTTTAGTCTATAAGCGAAAAACGACACCATATTCTTTGACCGAAAATTGGACTACAGTAACTCAAAACTCAATTTCGAACCTATTTCCAAAAAAATAAAAATAAAAAGAGGCCGAATTTGCAAATTTCGGATTTAATTTGCAGCAAAGACTTGTAAGATTTCGAAGTATTTTTTCGGAGGAGGAAATCGAGCAAATGCTGCGCTGCGACGGCTCACGTGTACACGACGTTAGGGATCCCCCACAGGTGTCGGGAGGAGTCCTTTCCCACCACCACCGACGATCCGCCGCCGCCGCCCTTGCCGCTCTTGTCGTCGCCGACCGTCGCCGACGATCTGTGGAGGGACATGCCCCGCGCTGCGGCGATGGAGGGTCGGGCCCACCCCTCCTGCTCGATCACAACAGATGCCGGGGCCCCCTGGACCTCAACCAAGAAGCTAAAAAAAAAAAAAGTGGCCGGGTGGAGAGAGAGAGAGAGAGAGAGAGAGAGAGAGAGAGAGACTACGGGTGAGGCTGTGGTTGTCGTTGTGATCGTGGTCGTCATCATCGTCGCCCCTTTCTTTATTTTTTTTTGGGGGGGGGTCCTCTTTTTTTCTCTACTCTGCTTGGTGCTAATTTGTCGTTGTTCATACATATGGTCTTCCGTTTTCGCCCCTCTCCTCGTTTTATTTTGCCGTTGTGCGTGCCTATCACCCCGCTCCTTTTTTCTTCTTCTCACCCTTGCTCCTCTAGTTCCCCGAGCTCCCTCAGCAGGCGGTCCTTGTGTCCCTTGATCGGGTACACCTCGTACAGGAACCAGGTCGAGAACTCCTTGGCAATCAGGCTGGGCCCCTTGAGGGCCAT